TTAAATAACAGTACTCTCTGATTAGTTTAAAAGATTTAATTAAGTTCTGAAATCATATATTTTAGGTAGCCTCATTTACAATGTGTTCAGCTCAGGTGTAAGCTATGCCAATATAACTCGACTCAATATATACTTCTACTGTTACTCTGTACTATATTATATTATATGTTACTATAATTTGGTATTTATTTCGCATTTAAATTATAACTAGAATTTAACTTATATTGTTGCCTTTTATACTGTTTGTGTAACATTCCCGTTTAAGTTTTTCTATCTAATTTATTCAGTGTGGTTCAAAATTTTTTAGCATAATCTTCTTTATAATAAGTTTCTTGTATGCAAAGATATTTTAATTTAAGTCTGTTGTAAAACATTTACACTAAATTGCTTAACTGAATTACTCAGTTCAAGATTTAGACAGAATTTTAAATGTTTATCTTTTAAATCATGCCTTAATTTTATTGTAATATATTGTAGATTCTGATGATGATCCATTAAAGATGGTGTCTGTTGCAGCCTTGGTCCTGCTTTATATACTGAAGATTCGTTTCCCATATGGAAACTTAATTGAGAGAGAGAGAGAGTGAGAGAGAGAGAAACTTGGATGAGAAACTCTTGTATGAGCCTGTACTGTATGGTATACATCTTGTGGCAGTATGAACATTGCATATTGTGCTTTGGTGACACAGCATGTTTGTGTGCTTCTCACGTCTCCAGAAAGGTGTGTTAGGCAAGAACGCTAGCCCAGGTCCCTGATGGTTGTAAGGACGAGGTGAAGACGAGGATCCAGTTCGACTCCCTCCAAGCGCTCATCCAGCTGCTTGAAGTCCAATTGCTCCACCAGGTCCCGCGGCTCAATTTCCACGTCTGGAGCCGCCAGCAGCTCTGGGAATAGAGGAAAAGTGTTAGCGCTTCAGCCAATCCTCTTAAGAGAACGTTATTCTTTTTTAATACAATTTAAGTTCTTGGAAAAGCCAACACTGACACTGAGTTGGGACTTTCGCTTTGCGAGGTTGGAATCTTCTCAGTCCCCAGTTTTGTTGTACTGTTGCATTGTCTCTTGTTCCACTTTCACTACTCCCACTACCCATTGCTACCAATACTACTACTACTACCAGCATTAACTCTACCACTATTATCTCTACTTCCTTCTTGCTTCCTCCTTTGTCCCGTCTCTGTCCTCTCGTATATATACTGGCTCCCTTTCCTTCGTGTGTTAGTGTGACGAGTTAATGGTCCAAGGCGGACCCAAACGTAGTCATGAACTTTCTTTCTCCTATGTGTGGGTTAATTTTGTATTGTTCTAGTCACGACATTGTGCCTTTATGTTCTTTATAAGGAAATCAACTTAAAATTGTATAACAACAACGCTGTGCTTAAGGTTGAGAGGAAAGATAACTAACGAGCTGCCAAACGTACAATGTAATGTTTCATTGAACGGGACGAGGAGGGACGTTGTTGGGGTTACATTTAATGTGGAGGAGAGGAGGTGTAGGGTTGGGGAAGGAAGTGGGTTGGGGAGTTAGAAAAGGAATGGGGGAGTTAAAGGGTTGAAGGGAAATTAGAAACAAACATTTAGTTAATGTGACGAAAGGAAGCTGTTTACGGAGGAGCACAATGACATGGTTGTAGAGAAAGCTCTACACGTGAGAAGCCCTACATGAGTGAGAGGCTTATTACATCAGTGACTCTACACCTGAGCTCTACACGTGATTGAGAATTTCTACTGGTGAGATGATCTTCACCTGAGTGAGGTCTGCATGTGGAAAGCTTTACACGTGGGAGAACTGTACATATGACTGCTAAGAAGCTCTATAAATGAATGAATAAATGCCTTACACATGAAAGATACCCACAAGTGAGTGAGAAATTGTTCATGCGAATTAAATTTCTGAACGAGTGTTAAAAGCTCTTCACGTGGCGATTATATTAACAAGGGACGCTGAAGGGAACTGATAATAGGGGGCAATCAAGATTAATCCAAGAAAATGGTAGGTAGCTCAATTTTTTTGGATCAAGAGATCTTCACCGACTTAAAAGCACCTCCTTAACACGTGAAACAGAAGCAATACTTTGGAGAGAGACACACTGCACGTGACTAAGAAACTGAACGTCTATGAGAAACTTTACACGTAAGAAGCTCAGCAGTTAATGGGAAGCTCTGAATGTGTGTGTGTGGGAACTGCTACACGTGTGTGAGAAGTTCTACACCTGAGAGAGAAGCTCTACCCGTGAGTATGAAGTGCTGTGGGTGAGATAAGAAACAGATTCCATGCAAGAGAGAAGACTCACCGTAGCAGAAGAGTCTCTCAGCGAAGGCAGAGACGAGGACGAAGAATTCTCTGTCCATGGCGAGGTCCGGGAGCGGAGTGAGCCCCGCCAGCCTACCCAGCTGCGCCTCCGTCAGTGTTCCTCCCAGAGCGTCTCCTAGCGCTGCCCCGAAGTCGCTAACCAGCAACCTCTCCACCCGGATGCTCTAAGGAAGTCACCATCGCCTCAGTGCATTGTACATTCATTCAGTTGTGTTTGCGGTGGCAAAATCTCAGTTCCAGTGCCCTCCCTTACCCCTCTACAGCCGACAAGTACTGTACACCTTACACAACGCTGATGAAATATTTTATACCCCTGTGGTTCGTTGTAGTATGTCATTTCTCTATACGCTGTGTTTTTGTATCTCTGGTAAAGAGATTATTATTTTCCAACCTATCCCAGCCCCTGCACAGTTTGTATGTTATGATTTTATCTCGTCAGCATTGGGCCTTTGGGCATTGGGCCCCAAATGGACGCTATCACACCTACTCTTGAAGCCATGTACAGAGTTTGCTTCTACTATTTGTTTATCCAGCTAGTTACACTTGCTTACCACCCCGAGAACGAAGAAGCATTTCTTAATATCTTTGGGTCTCATCTGTAATTTAACTTGCTGCTATACCACCCCTTTTCCCCCACCTCTTTGCCTGACACTTCTGTTTATTTCCACCCACCCTGCTAAATCATTCGATATTTTTTTCCTTAGTAATCATGTCTCACCTAGTCGTTCTATCTTCTGAGGTACTTAGGTTCAGTTCTTTTAATATTTTTTCAAAGCTCAAATTTTTTCAGCTTCAGGACTAATCTTGTGGCAAACCTCGGAAACTTCTCGGTATTCTGATTTTACAGCCGGGATTAAGGCTGAAAGAGTTAAGCCTCTCCCACACTTGTTAATCCAATGTGCGACGGCACCTTCCTCCGGCTCATTCAGAATTACAAACTAATACTGAATTTGTTATACAGTACTATAAAAATGGTAAATAATAAAGAAAAAAGTATTGGTTATTCCAACAAAGGACCTGATCATTATATCCAGGTGAGAATCAATGACAGGCCACTTGCTACCATAACACAAACCTAACAGTAATAACTAATAAACATTAAAACACATAAAATGTACAGATGTACGTCGCAGCAAGTCCGGCTTAAAAATCACGATGTACTTACCTCGAGGTCGCGGTGTCTGGTGAAAATCATAGAGTAGAGCTGGCGCCGCGAAGTTCTCAGTTTCATGTACTGCTTCAGGTAGTCAATGGGGGTCATACCTGCCGACCAGTACTTTCATGATACATCTAACTTTGTGAAAGACATCTCGTGATGCATTCCTAAACGAAAAGTTAAGCTTTTATAGACCTTTTTATACAACACTGATACTGAGTATTATCGCATAAAATGTATACTAGTCAGGTAACAAAATCATCATGGCACCGTGTTATCTTATGTAAATTTGCTTTATTCTACAGCTGTCAACATTTGATAAAAAGGCTTCAACAGACTTTCACTACTGTAGATTCTTATATACTTCACAGTCACGAACGCTATACATACTCTGAGACACGGACTACTCTGCTTTCTCTCCCACTCACTGACAGGTCAACATAACATAACAATGAAGAATAACTTCTTGAACCGCTCGGTTACCTCGAGACTTGCGTATTTTTATGGGCTCCTGAACTTTTTTTCTTTTAACATTAACAGGTGCCCCAATCCCTTCTTCATGTTTATGAACGCTATGCAGACCTTACCACTCCTTTACAGCTTAATACCCCAACCTTTTCTCTCCATTGCAACCACGGACCCATCATTATTTTATCGTGAGCATGTACGCCTCAAGCACTCAAGGTCGGATCAAATGACTTCTAAACACCGCTTTACACCAAAGATTCCTTATCATTCTCTTTAACGTACAGATCACACAACACTTACCCAGGAGTCGTGTGATCTGAACTGGAAGTGTAAATACGGCAGCGCGATGCGAAGGACTGCGGGGAAGATTGAACCAAAACACTTCTGCATCAGTGAGTGCCGCCCCGCCGCCCAGCGTCTCTTGTAGTCGCACCAGCTCTGACCCGTCTTCGGGAGGATTACTGGCTCCCAGAAATTGCTTAAGTATGAAAAAATAGTTTAATGAATACCTATAAAGATGATAACATTAAACTCTTTAGCAAAATAAGCATAATGAGTGCATACACTTGAGGAAATGACACGAAAACCTAATTGTGGATGTGATACTGCAAGTTTAATGCAGCCAGAAGATTACTAAGTAAGGAGATAAAATTAGGAATTTCTGTGTTACGCTTGTTGAATATCTGTTGAATACAATGTTAAACCTGAAATATAAAAACAAGTTCAAGAAATGCCCAATAATTATTCATAAAGGTTAAGTACCAATCTTTCCAAACTCATCTGTGACGAGTTTGGAAAGACTGGTTTGGAGATATGCCTTCGGTGTTAACGAAAAATTAAGTTTAATATTATATATTCCTGTGTTATGCAATGGGGTCATGTAAGTTTATAAAAAGTATACCTCAGGGGTATTCATGGTAGTTTTGTACTTCAGAATCATATGCGAGGTAAACGACTATTACCATAGAAGCTGAATAAGAATATTTAATCTAGGAGCCAAATGAGATTCATGTATCTATATCAGATGGGAAGCTGTCGTCTAGAATGACAATCATGTATTTTAGGCTCGTGTAAGAAAAAGTAAATATTAAGACTATGTATGTGAGTTACCTTGGGATCATAGGAGAGAGGATCATGAAGCCTGCGATGAGACAAAGACGACTTGGAGGACCGTGCTGATGTAGGCTTGGAAGAGTAGGAGCTGCCTGATCTTCGCGAAGATCCCACACGGCTGTCACCAACCGTTGACACCTGACACGTATCTCAGAATTTATTAGTTTTGCATATTTGCAAGCAAGATTATTTGAATATAAAAATAAGAAGAGACAAAATAATATGCAATGCTCTGTCTGAAAACAGTTAACTCATTTTATTATTTTAAATATTTCTGTTTGTTATTCTCCTTAAGCTACCAGGGGAATTTTGATAAAAAATTGAACCTGCGCTTTCCTTCTTTGTACCGAATATAATTGCCTCAAGCTTACCTTAAACGCAATATATCCCTACAGATTTGGCGTTTCCCTGTAATTATAATAATAATGATAATATACATGATGAACTTACCGCAGTCTGGCCTGGGTCATCCAGTCCTCCTTCGTCTCCTTTCTTCTTGCCTCCCCGACGTGGGCGACGTTTGGCTGGCTGCTGCTTATCTCCGCCCAGACCTGAGTCCTCGCTTTCCTGAGCAAGGTAATGACCACAGTGAGAAATTTCGCTTAAACTGTTTTAATCAAACTCGGCTACCCTATCAGTAGTAAATAAGTGATGAAGAGTGTTTATCAATGAATTATTGACAAAATTCCTTAATTAATTGTGAATATTCATCAATGAATTACTTGTGAATATCCATCAACGAATTACTTGTGGATAGTCATCATTTCATCATTTTCGAACAGTGGTGTTTAAAAAAAAACAAGCTAACATAATTTATTTGTTAAATGTCTGCAAATGTCTTGCATGAATGCTACACAGAAAAGTGTATGTATCAGATGCGAGATCCTAGAAAGATACCTCTGTATCCTATAAGTCCAACATCTCAGCCTCACTTCCACGCAAAAGAAGTAGAGTGAGGCAGTTATAAAACCGAACGTGCGAGTATGCGTGTACTCATTTATCTGTACTCGCCTGTTTGTGGTTTCAGGGGCTGAGTTTCAGCTCCTGGCTCTGATTCTCCGCTTGACGCTCACGGGTTTCCTCTCTTCTGGCTTGAGTTCTACCATACCTATTCTTAAAACTTCATATAGATCGTGCAGCCACAACTTCGCTGTCCAGGTTCAACTTCCTCACCACTCTTAGTTTTATGAACTTTTTACGATGCAATTTATATACCAAATGTACATTACTAAATCTTTTGCACCTCTTGCAACATTGGATAGCTTCTGACGAAGCACGGAAGTGCGAAAGGCCTAGAACTAGCGTTTCTCATACTTGCGTGTCGTAAGAAGCGACTAAAATGCCGGGAGCAAGGGGCTAGTAACCCCTTCTTCTGTATATATTACTAAATTTAAAAGGAGGAACTTTCATTTTTCCTTTTGGGCCACTCCGCCTCGGTGGGATACGGCCGGTACGTTGAAGGAACAATAAAAGTGATGCATCAAGGAAGTCATATAAAGTGTCTAGACCACACCTCACTATCACATCCCACAACAAAGCAACACCTGATGTGCAACTCATAAGAAAGAGAACACCACAGCAGGCCCGCTGGCCCAACTAGACAGGTCCTTCACACAACCCACAAACAAACTATTCTACCCAAGAATTAAGAATTTTAAAATTTATTATTTATCCAGTGTATTATTAAATTCTTCCCAAATTCTATTAATTATAAATGAATCTAATTTATATAAGCCAAAGGAAATATTCATATTATTGTCAAAACTGCTTTTTATGAAACAAGATTCAATTATATTCCTGTCGACCATGGACTTGCTTGATACAACTTTCTCAACTTTTTGAAAATCAATTGGATGGTTAAAATCTCTCACATGAATAAATAGAGCATTGGAATCTTGTCCAGTTCTAATGCTATATTTATGTTGTTTTAATCTTAGTTCAAGACTTTTACCAGTTTGACCGTAATAAACTTTATCACAAATTTTACAAGGAATCTTATAGACACATCCGTCAGCATTTTGGGGGGAATTCTTTATCAATTTTTTTTTTACTGTATCAAGATTTTTGAATACAACTTTAATATTAAAAGTCTTAAGAAGAGAAGGCATATCAACCAAGTTTTCATGGTAAGGGAGAACCAACATATTTTTAGTTGAATAAGACTGGCTGTCCCTTTTTGGATTGTAAAAAGTATTTCTAGCAATTTTAAAAGATTTATTAATTACGTTTCTTGGGTATTTCAAATCATTAGCTAAAGGTAATAATGAATTCAAATTTAAAATTTACAGAAAACCTACAAATAACTGTTCCTATGTACACTATTATTCTTCACACCAAGATAGAGTTAAAATGTATGTTTTCTCATCAATGTTTTTGAGAATTTAACGTATTTGTAGCCCAGCGTTCATAGATGAGGAAATATCCAAAATTTATGAAATAGCTAATGATAAA